AAGCGTAATTTCCATCCAAAACCTTTATAATGGTGGTGATTGTAAACTCCCGTGGTATCTATGGGACCAGGATATTCCTAATAGGTGAGCATATTCGTTTGGCACAATTTGGCAAAAATACTGCACTCGTTTTTGCTTCCGTGATGGTATTAGTGAAAAAGTACTCCTCCAGTACCTCCGCATACTCTCCCCAATCTTCTCTGCTCTCTCTAAGAAACGGTTCGAGCTTAGGCATAGAGCGACCGCAGAAGATCAAGAAAACGCTTGCCTTACCGAGAAGTCTGGTGCTTCTCAGCCCTGGGCCATGGCTTTGATGGCGTAGTTTGTTTAAACTGCCTCGCTGCCAGTGTGATATATTCAGGAAATATCATCAAAAGGAGACTAAACAGAAGTGCGTTCGGCTGGGAGTGCAGCCACAACCCCGTGGGCCGCGAGCGTGTCTTTTTTTGCAGAGCGGTGCGTGCCGCATTACATAATAGGCACAAGCGCTGATTGCTCAAGGGTTACAAAAAAGCAGTTACATTTTTCCGCAACGTTTGAGATATTATCTAAACAAATTAACTATCACGTCGTAAAAAGAGCTTGGGCCTTGCTAGCCTCGAAGCCCATCTACGAAAGGCTAGGTTTGTGTAATGTAAGAACGACTTTCTGATATTTTTTTCGGCGTTTACCTTGGTCCTAGGCGCACGAGACTCTGCTCGTAGTTTAACACTTTTAGTGTTAAACTACGAGCAGAGTTACAACGGACCCAAAACTTTTCTTTTTCTGAGCTTGCTGCGAAAATATGAGGGCTCAGCCAAACGCGATCTGACCTTCGCTTTTTACCACGTCAGTGCGCTGTGCCTTAGTCTTAAATGAATCGTGAGAATGTATGAATTTTGAATAAACATCAAAGCAAGACACATATTCAAGAAACGAGGTTGGAGAATAAGACGATACCATCTTATCGACTGCTTTTTAATGTGTTAGCATTAGGACGATCGTTTTGACGAAAACCCGGCGGTGCCTTTCGTCCATCAGCGCCGGGAAGAAAAGGGGCAGGATGGAGAGAGGGCCACGCGTGCGAAGCTCCCATTGGTCCGAAGCGGTGACGTCAGCACTCGTTAACCTCTCGTCTCTCCCCGGCGCTGTCAAACTGACAGTCACCGCCGGCTTTTCTTAAAAACTAGCACTTTCGTTTTCGTCAGTCATGCACACAGCTGCTGCGGAGCCAGAGAAGTGGCGGCGCCGCGCGGCGCGGTGGAATGCGGGCGTGCTCAGTTGCCGCTCTGTCGTCGACGGTTGTTCCTCGCTCTTGGTTTTCGTAGTAGCGGTGCGTGGGCTATGATGTGTGTGTGTGTGTGTGTGTGTGTGTAGTTAAAACGATGGATGCGGTTCCTTTCACGAGAGACATGGATGAGGTTCATTGTATGAGTGGTATTGATCAGTGTTGCGGAGTTGCCACTCCGGAGTTGGAATGATTCCGGAATCATTCCGCATTTTTGCGACCCCGGAATGGAATGGGAATGGAATGGCGGCAGCGTTGAGGGGAATGGAATGGGAATGGAATTAGATGCCTTTCGCCCGGAATGGAATGGGAAAGGAATGGGCCAGGTTCTTTATATTTTATTTATTTATTTATTTTTTACGTTCAGCTATACCGAGCCAGTCAGAGAGTCGGTTGTTCAGAAACAAAATGAGCGGGAAACTGCAAACCCGCGTAAGGCCCTAGCAGACTTATGCGCAAAAGAAAAAAATGCAATACAAAAAACAAGCGTCAAAGCAAAGAACAGAGGGAGCAGCGGAGGGGGGGGGGGGGGCGGCGGTGGCGCCTTTCACCAGTGAAATTTAACACATACCCGAATGCGTCTGCGCCTGTAATATTGCACGGCTGGTACGTGATCAGTCGACGTGAACGTGACCTGCTGCTGTGGTGATCCGATACCCAGAAAGGAGGCCAGACGTGGCCTCGCTGTGCGAACCCAGACTTTGTACACTTTCGACTCGTCTCTAGCGCGCTGTTTCTCGAAGAGCTCGCACCTGTGCCGGCCATCTCAGGTCGCAATCCACGAGGTCTCTGTTTGAATGATGCTAGGCGAAATTTGAAGACTGCCATTCATGCGTTGGAGGTGGAGAGTCGGCAGGAAGGACCGTCACAACAGGGATGCCACGGTATCGATTTTTCAACCGTAACGGAAGATGATACATGTGCTTCAGGTTGCTTCAGGTGGTCCACTTTTCTCGAAAATTCCAAATGCAACTGCCTGCACGGTTTTCAACGAGGTCAGTTACAACGGAAGTATGTATTGTCCTTTCATACAGCAGAGTGGGTAAAGTTTCATGTTCAAGGCAACACCTACGGATTCAAGAATACTAGTTCATCCCACCGTGACGTCATGTGCTCAGTGCTGACAGGGGCGCCCTATTGGACAGGGGAGTGGTGATGTTTTGATGGAATTTATTTTAGAGGTCGAAGTCTTTTCGCATCACAGGTCAGTCGGACAGGATGCCAGGGAAGGGACCGCGGTCAATCCTTGATGGAACGTTACCCATTGAGGACTCTTCGCCCGGAACCACTACCTTCAAGGCGAAGTGCCAAGCCTGCGGAAAAGTAATTTCGGGACCAAAAAAAAATAAAATAAACTTCCACTTCAAACTTAAAGCCTCATCTCAGTTGGCGTCAAATTTCAAAAATGTATTATCAGCATTTATATTTCTGCCCTCCCTAAAATGTATTCTTGTATTTGTATATCCAAAGACTTTTTGCCTCTTTTTAAAATGTATTTCAGATATGTATCACGATACATTTTTATAGATATATTTGAGACTTGAGTATCCGTATCTTAGCAACTATTTTCATCTATCCCAGTATTTGTATTTCCAAATACATTTCTGAATATTTCTGCCCAACCCTGCAACGTAATAGAGCTGTCAAGTGACACTTTTAACGTTTAGGAATTGGAGGAATGGAATGGAACGATTGAGCCATTCCAGGAGTGGGAATGGGTCCAGTGTCCCCATTCCTAGGAGTTGAAAGGAATGGAATTATCGAAAACTCTAATTCCCCGGAATGGAATTGGAATGGAATGGGGGTGCCCATTCCGCAACACTGGTATTGATATGAGTCTTTCTACGAGTGATTAGGATGCCCGTATTCAAGGATGTCGACGTACTTTGACAGGCAGAGTACAGAGAAGGGGTGAAAAAAATACAGGAGGATCCATTGTTAAATTCTGAGGGAAGCCGTTAGGAGAACCCTTGGGAAAGGCCACACAGGCCCCCTTTGGAAAACGCTAAACTGACCCCGTAGCGAGGCCAAGAACAGGTAGCAAAACATAAAGAAATCATAAACAGAAAAGTGAAGGGGCCAGCGTTAGCGTTATCGAGGTTCATGTTAACACATTCTCTAATAATCACTCGTAATATTTATCTATAATATTAATGGTTTTCATATTATTTGAAACAACTGCCGGGGCAGTGGGCCGGACTATCTGGCAACCAATAAAAAGGTGGTCAAACAATGTTTGTGAGATTACAGACGAATTTATCATTACGTATTGCGTCTGAACTAAAATGTGGTCGATACGGGATGACACGAGCTTACCGGCCATCAGTTCCTGTCAAGTTGGACTGCTGATGGTAGCTGTAATATCTACGCAAGCGAGAGTGTTTAAATCACGTACCTCTGGTTTGTCATATTTCAGGAGATCTATGTTCATGTCTCGTACTATGCAAAAAAAAAAAAAGTCTTGACTACAACGCTAGGAGAGGGTGCCCTTAAGCTCTTGAATAAATTGCGTGTCAGTTTTGGAGGAATGTCCATACGTCATGCTAGAAGACCGAGATATTCATTATAGCTTAAAATTTTTAACAGAAGGCATTCAATGTAATCAAAAATAACATCTTGTCTTGAGACCCACCATTATTTTTTAAGGGAACAACAATCCCACCTACAATTTATTTCGATTTAAGGCTGACTATTAAATAAGCAACGCGTGAGGATTCGCCAACTCGTTTGTCATTCTACAGGCCAATCCGGGAGTATGAAACGCGGTCATAATTATTTTAGTAGCGTGCTCTTCAAAACGGAGGGAGGTGTCACTCCCAGTCCCCGGATCTCTTTAACACGACATAGTACCTCAGAATGAATTTGATAGGAAAAATATATCCTGTGCGTTTTTCGCGTATAAATAATTACCTTTGTTTTAGCTTTGTTTAGGAGAAGATTCCTGGTTAAACACAGTTACCGAGTGCGCACGCATCCGCCTAAAGCATCACGCAATCCCTGTCCCTGCTGGCCTCACTGAATACCTTAATATTATTTGCATCTGGAGAACTGAAGAAATAATTAAGACTTTTAACACGTCGTTCACAAAGAAAGTGCTACTAGTACTACTGGCACTACTACTGCTACTACTAGTACTACTACTAATAAAAATGATATTTATTTCTGTGTGTCCACAAAGAACTAAGGGCCTTTTGTGCGGTACACAGCAAATTCCGTGCGAAAAGGTAAGGTAAAAAAAGACATAAGATGGCACTGCAGAATTTGCATGCAATGGTATCTACGATAAAAGGTAAACATTAGAAAACAAAATTAGGCATCTATTTGTTTTACTCTCCTCGTTTTCGCGGCACGGCATCTAATGACCACTTTTTTTTAATGCAAATGACACCGAGTTGAGCGATGTTTTGTTTACTTAACCACTGGAAGCTCTTAACTTTTATTTTTGTCTAGCCCAGGAAATCCACGGGGGGCCTTGGTCTTAAGGTAGAGTTATGAACCGGTTTAAACCGGTTTGAACCGGTTCGCCCTTATGTGAACCGGTAACAGAACCGACATATTGAATGCATCTCTGAACCGGAACCGAACTGAAACAAAATGCAAAGCTACCGAACCCATACACGAACACAACCGAAATAATGACCGGTTCGATACCCTGATCCTAACACCGTGCAGCTCACACCGCTATCCTATACAGAAACTAACATTATGCAAGGCATTCACAGAAACATCATACCCATTTTGCAAACCTTCGGCCAATATGAGTCGTCTGAAAATTCATCACTGAATTCATCATTATCTGAAAATTCATCATTATCTGAATGTAGAAAAAAATAATATAAGGTTTCATTTTTTTAGAGACACCAGTAAATGACACAGGAAACGACAACTAGCTAAGTAAAAGGTTTGCGACGTCATTCAGAACTGACAATTGCTGATAACCCTGATAATGTGAGCATTTTCCTCCGTCCTACTATTTAACTATATGGTAGTTACGGGCTATTTATACATATCCTATCAATGTTAAAACGGGTGATTACTTTCAGTGATTGAGTCCTGCATCTGCAATGCAGCAAGTAGGGATACAACAATTCACGTGGCCTCCTTTAAAGATTAGTATTAGAATTAAGTGTTAACACATGAACATTATACACGTAGATTATTACTGAAATCGAATGGTCATGGGGTATTTAGAAAATGCACCAAGTTTCGCAAGTTTAGTTATATTTAGAGCTCTAGAAATTGCAGTAACCAATTTTCGAATGTTGATCATATTCTTCTGGCGACCAGAAAACACTGCCCAAGTTAGCCATACCCGGTGTCCGTATACCACGTGATCATAATATTACTCATTCTAAGCTCCCCATGCTGGCCCAGCTGGCGTCACCAAGTTACGATCGCACACTCTCAAGCTATTTTGCTACTCTAATGCATTCTCTTGCTATCGTCCTCTTGCCGTTTGATCTTCCAACTTGCTTTCACGTGCGCGATCTTCGCGGGCGACGGCGAATTCGTCTCTTGCGATCTCATTGTCATCGCTATGGCCGGTCGCGAGCCGGTCTTGTTTAAAATAATCATCTATGGACCGCTTCAAGCAGAGCAATTTCTCCCAGCAACCTGACGTTGGAACACAAGCAAGTGGGCCACGCCGCCCGCGTTCAGACGCAGCGACCAAATTGCTACAATCTGCCATCATCAACATTAAATTTTGTTTCCCACTATGAAGAGATAGGTACGCGTTATAAACATTTTTTTGTATCTCTAATTGGCTTTGAGAATACTAACTCATCCTCCTGAAACGATTTATTCCCAAACACGCTCTATTTAAAACCAGAACCACGTCTTTAGTTTTCTTCATCATCGCCACAGGGGTGTCACGTGAAAACATCGCAACCCCTGATTGACTGCTGCCGCTTCAAACATCTCCTAGTCATCAGAGTCGCTCCTCGGTTTCCAGCCGGGCTCTATTCTAGCAAATCGTGTTGCATCGCGAGGATCTAGAGAAAGCTAGGGAACAACTCTTCAGCGACAATGAAATTGCTGGGAAAGTTACCCTGTCTGGTGCAAGCTCTTTCTTTTAATAATATCACTCTCGTGGCTAATGCGATCAGTGTCAAAGACGCTTACAAACCATGTGAAGCCGTAGATGTCTGCGTCTCGAAGCCGCGTGACGGGGAAGGTAAACGTGGAAGCTGAAACGCGAGACGCTGAGAGAGCCAAGTCCGCGAGTTCGTGCAAGGGGACGACGCGTGTGGAGCGGATAACGTCACCGCCCAACGATCACGGCAGCACTTTTTGAATGGGGCGGATCAGAGGGGGACGCATATAAATCGATTTATCCGCGAAAGAATTGCGCTATGTACAAAGAAAAAAAAAACTATTAGCAGGCTTACATAAATTCATAAAATAGGTGCTAGTTTTACAGCTGTCTCATGTTTTATTCTCTAGATGTCGCAACCCCTTTAACTGCATATTAAAGTGACCGAAACATTTTCAAGGAATATGTAACTTTAAAAAGAAAATCTTATAAAAAACCTTTGATCTTCGTACTTTTTCTATAAAGAGGAGTTTAACAACTATAAATCAAGAAACCATCATAAAGAATTCAAACATTATAAAAAAAAAACAAGAACAATTAAAATGTTTCCCAACCCAACGTGGGGACAAAACATAAAACCGATCTCCTAATTTTTGTTTGGGTTAGCAGACGCTCACTTGAGTTAATCTCAAACACTAATGTGAATTAACTCAGAGAGAATTTTATGCCGCCTATAAAAAATAGATATATAACTGCTCTTCAAAATGTAAAAAACAAATATATGGTTTAGAATTTTTAATGTTTCCTTTGACCTTAAGTCAGACCGAAGTAAAGCGCTAGAAGACGTGCGGGCCCAGAACTCTGACAAACATACAAAATGCCCATTTGACTTGGTTGTTTGAGCCCGTGAGAGAAAGGGCACGACTAGGCGACGAACGCCCTTTTCTCTACGGCTTGATTGTGTTTTTTTTTTTTTTCAGATCGCAGCTTCGGCGATGCTCTGACCCAACGTAAACCAGAATAAGTTCATAACCTCCGCACATTATCTTAACGATAATATTTAATTAAAGTTAATTTTTTTTCACTATCGTTATTATATTACATTTTTCACATTGTTATGCTGTCCAGAAAATAATAGAAGCAGTCTCTTACCTCTGTCAGGCGGGCACCTAAAATGACCTTTACGCCAAAAACCTTGAGGATTCTCAAATGTCCTTTGCGTTTGATCGTGTCAGACAGCGCAAGATGTCATTCAGACGATGTTTACTGCGATTCAAGTCTCGTAGCTCGGTTCAAACGCATAAATCATATTCACACCAAAAGATAATATTTTGGCGATATAAATATTTGTTTTTGTTTTCCTTCAGCAAACAATATATTAACAAAGACAAAATGACGAGTTCAGTCGAGTGATTACAACGAAGTCAATTTTAAGCCCAAGCAAAGTCTTTTTTTGGCAATTAGCGGCAACCCTGAGCGTCCCCCGCTCACTCAGTTCTGGTCCTAACGTTGCTCGGAGCTCCCGTTCCTTTCCGTGCTTCTGCTACGCTTTTGCCTTTTCCTGTTCGGTTGGGCGTCGTGCTCGTGCTTGAGTTTCATCGCAAGCGTCCGAGGTCCTCCAGCCCGCCTCAACGCTTCAACGCTCCAATGGAAGCGCGGCGACCCCTTTCTAGTCACGGACGCTCCTCCGCAGTTCGACATATCGCATGACGCCAGAGTGAGATACAGAAATATATATCTACAAAAAATATTAAATATACAAGATACATTTAGCAATATACTAGTAAAGGATGATAAAATATAAGGTAGAAAATAAAAGCTAGATAACTATGGTTGTAAGGAAAATCGAGAGGAGGAAAACCGAAGGGCCGAAGCGGACGACGCGAGCAGGCGACGACGAGGCCTACCAAAAAGCGGGGGGCTGTGAGTACAAAAAACTATTAGTAGAGCGAGGTTTGTAAAGAATATACGTGAAACACGCTATTTTGCAATAATAAAAATGCAAACGCATTGATTTTAGATATCGGTACGGTCTTTTTTTTTCGATTCGCATCTCTAGTGTAGACTGCTGCTGACGGCAGAAGGCCTTTAGCAGCCGCAAATCGGTTGCCGGAACTCAGGTTTACGAAAAGGACCTTTACGCAAAATGCCATTTGAGTTGCCGTGTGGCAGTGCCTAAATGACACTTACACTAAAGGTTCTTTGGCGTAAAGCTCCTTTTAGGTGCCCGTCTGACAGGGTTATTAATCAGCCTGATTTCAAACCACCGAAAAAAAAACATTCTGAAATTTAAAAAAAAGCAAAATCAATTACAAATTACTCGAGTAGCTTTAGCCAAGATCGCTGAAGTTCTTGTTTACACGAGTTAAGTGACATTATACGTACCACAAACGCCCACAAAGATTGTTGAGGCAAGGATCAATATTCTGCAATGCACTTTCATGGCTCTTAGAAAATGTGCGATGATAGGCGCGAACAACTCACAACTGCGGATGTGTTAGAAGCATTTATACCATGTACAGTAATTTGACCTTTAAAGCTGCGCATGCGCTTGACTCAATCATACTTATACTTGTTTTTTGAAGCTACTCAAGAGTATTGTTTTATCGTTTTATTTTATTGCCACCTGCCGGAAATCCTGGAGCTCTCTGCTGTTTGTTTATCACTCCCTGAAAAATAATGTTTTTTTTTTGTTTTTTTTCGAAAGTGTCCTTTCAAGAAACTTGTAAAAAGCAATGGGGAATATGTTGCGCTGCGCGTGCTTATTGAAGCTATTCCGATAACTTATTTTAACCTACGTTCTGACGCGAAAGGGTAGAGGTCATTGGTGTAATAAAAAATATATTGGCAATTAAGTACTATAATGCATAAAATGCAGTATTAATGAGCGTTTTTGTTAAAATTTGTCTAGAGAACATTAGGCAGTCCCTCTCGGGAAGTAAAAAACAACATATATTTTTTATAAATTTCCTTGCCAGGCCTAGCGAGGAAACTTACTTGGGGCACAGGTAACGTGACGTTTATTTCCCAGCTTAATTTAGCAGAAAAAATGAAGTGACGTATACGTCACGTTGCGTCAAGTCACGTGACGTAAATTAACCCGCTGAATTTAGAGACGAAGCTGGAGTGCTCCTGACGACAGTTTTCTCACAAATTTTAGCGTGAAGACTAAATAGGGGCATAGGTCAACTAATTTCAATTTTCTCCCTATATTTACACAGAAAGGTGGAAGTCTCGTTGCGAGTGGTTTCAGTCTTATCTTACTGATCGTAAAAGCAGTGTGCGGATTGGTGACAGTTTTTATGAAACGTTTGTTCCTTCGTCCGGTGTCCCACAGGGGGCTAACCTGGGGCCACTTTTGTTTCTTATATTCATTAATGATGTTGTATTGTGCGTAAAGAACTCGCAGTTGTTGCTATTTGCAGATGATCTGAAGTTATCTTTGAATGTCCGATCAGTCGCTGACTGTGAACTTCTTCAGGACGATGTGTCACGAGTGCAGGAATGGTGTTCGTCAAACATTTTGTTGATTAATTCCGACAAAACGAAAGTGCTATCAATGTGTAGAAGACGGGTGGCGATTTCTAACGACTATTCTATTGATTCAATTGTTATATTACGTGTGTCAGTGGTGTTTATTTCGACAGTCATCTCTCTTTTTCTGATCATGTCTCTCAGATTGTGGGTTCAACTATAAGCTTGCTGGCCATGGTCTCGCGACTAACCCGAGAGTTGTCAAACCCAATATGTATTATTCGATTATCTTCTAGCCTTATTCGTTCGCGGCTTGAGTTTGCAAGTGTTGTGTGGAATTCTATTACGATGGCGGATGCTTTACAGATTGAAAATGTCCAGAAGAGGTTTATTAGAATTGTTTACGACCCAGACTTTCAACGTTTGTCCTACTACGACTATGCCTACATACTCGGGAATCTCGGCTTACAAAAGTTATCACGTCAAAAAACTGCGAGAGATTTACTACTGATGCACAAGATAATTCATGGCCAGATAGATAGCAGCTTGCTATGTTCTTTTAATTTTCATGTTCTGCTACGTTTCAGCCGACACCCATGCTAGTTTTATCCTGATTCAAAGGAGAAGCTCTGCCCGACCACCGTATGCAGCTTTGTTTTAATGACATTTCATCGAAATCTTCTTTAGATGCTTTTACAGATTACATCTCTTTTAAACGTGAACTTGAAATTTCACTCTACGATTCATAGTCATGTAGCATACCCGCATGTGTTTTGTTCACTGTACGCATGTGCCTCATACCAATTGTGATTTCAGTCGTTCTAAGGCACAAAATAATAATAATAAATAAATAAATAAAATAAATAAGATCCTCGCAAATTTTTGCCTGAAGACTGAAAAGGTGTATATATCACGTGACGTCATTTTTTTCCAATATTTTTTGCGGGAAACGCACAATGGAACGGACGCACGGGCTGACAAAATTTTGGATTTTGAGAGTTCCGTTAAAAATAATTTTATGCTTTATTTGTTTTTAGAAGAACAAGCGAAAACAACCTTCCTTCCTATTTAAAAAAAAAATAAAGAAGCATGGAAAAGTGTGCTTTTTATGTGAACGATGCCTCGCATAGCTGAGCTTAAATTGCGAAGGTGTCCGAAGGGACAATGCTGAACTTAAAATACCACAGCTTGAAACTGAAAAGGATGAACAACCCGCTGGAGAAAGTTCAAAGAGCACTCACGAATGAAGAGCGGCATAACCTTCGTGTGCCATAATTATAATATTAATTTTTTTGTGATACTCAGTGTAATCAGGGGATTTGTAAAATATTGTGTCAAAAGAAGCAAATACTTGATATTAGGTATACATATCCGTCCCTGAGCAGTGAGGATGCTCAAGGCGACATAGTTTGCTTTGGATCCGACAATTAAAACATAGTTAAAAAATTAGTAAATAAATGCAGTGTCAGACTGGCAATAAAAAAAGCATTGACACAAGTACCGCAGTCAAAAGCTCTCCAAAAGCTCATACACTGACAAAATGAAAAGAAAAGTCGTCTTTGATAAAGTGAACTGCGCGGCATTAGGCCTAGTTTTACAAATACGATGCTAGTGTTTGTAGGAAACATGTGGGGATGAGAAAATAAATCTTCACTCTTATAAGCGTACATTTTTACGAACATTTGAGTCTTGCTTGATTTTTTTGAAAATTAAGCTAAATGTGAGCAGTCTCATAATGACAGCATTTGATTTTGAAGAAATACATCAAAATCGTCTTTACACCTGAAAAAAGCATAAGTTTTAAATTCCACCTATCAAAATTTTTAATATTTAATCGTTACCAATATTTATACTGCCTAAAATAAGTCAATCAAAATAAAATTTCAACCTCACTACTGAGTTATAAGTGACATATTGTCACGAATAACAAATTATGAGGCGATTATAACTGAAGAAACTAAACGTGTAATGGTGCGAACTTGCGCCCAAAACATAAAGGGAACAGAAGAAAACAGCAGAGCGTCGCGGGCGTCGATGTCGGCGAAACCGCAGGATCGAGCGCAGGGGCGAGACCGACTTTGGCTCGCCATGCGAAGCCCCCTATGTACACGCGTGGGCTTCTGGAATAATCGGCGTAGAATGTTCGACGCGTAGGACATTCGGACCTCGAATAAGCCAACAAATTTCTCGAATTTTCTAGAACACTAAATTGCAGAAATAAACAAAAGACAGGTCGCTCCCATGAATCCAACCCTGGCTTTTCGCGTGGGAGGAACCGCAATAACCGATGGGCCACGCGCGCGCTCCGCGCGCGGCAATATTATTCCAGACATTATGTAGAAGGCAGTGTTTATCTCCAATAAATCGCGGAGCTCAAACCGTTTCTGCGATTGCAGCACGAACTATGAAACAATCATATTAATAACTTTGTCATAGTTCGGGCTACAATCATAGCGATATTTGTCGTCAAGATGTGGCACCCACTTCATTCCTTAACAAAAAAAAAACTTTTCGAAATTACTTGAAAAAAAAAAAAAAAAAACATTTGTAATTGAGTTACGTTAGCATCGTGAGTTTCGCAAGTCTCTAAAATGACAACATATTAAAACAGCGCGCGAGCAGAGATGAGAAGAAGAGAACAAAGGGCGCGGCGACTAGAGAGCACAGCGCTGTGTTCTCTTCTCATCTTGCGTCTGCGATGTTTTATTATGCTATTCGTTACATTTACACTGACACACTGAGCATCATTGATGCACCTGTTGGCGATCTCCGAAACTTAGTAATGGCAGCTGGTCGTTTTTCTTTAGTATTTTGTTTTGGACTGCCAGGACGGCATTCCATGCTCTGTTTTCGTTATCAGCCTTTCGGCGTTTCGGTCGGGAATGAGGAGGCACTTTGGGGAGACCAGTGTCGCGTTTCAGGGGGTCCCGTGCCATTACGAGTGGGAATTCTACTTGTTTATGAGCTTTTTCCGGTATCGGGAAAATGGCCGCGGGCATGTCGCCCTCTTCGTTGCATTTCGTGCGGAACCCCGGTTTTCGAACGCACGTGAAAACACTTAACTTACCCACGAGACTGCTGTCTCGGTGCCGCGTACGTCTACCCCTTGATCCTGAAGCGCGGGGCCAGACGTAAAGGTTTACCATGGAACCCACGGCCGAGACATTAACACGTCACCGGTCGCCATGTCGTTTTCTGGGAGACTAAGTGCTTCAGAGCTCTCGGTGTCGTGTCTGGAAACTCTTCCGTGACGCCCGGGGACCAGGCGCTTCCCATATATTCTGCATATGCCTGGCGTGCCTATCTTTTTACTTTGTTTCAACGCCATTTCATTGTGGAGTAGACGTGCCACAGCCCACAAGTCTCGGTGGTTCTCGTCGTAATTCGCGAATGTCTATTTTCTGTGGCATAGGAAAGACATAACTCGCATTTTATCCTCGGGTTCTGAGAATCAAGGCTTGGCTTATGGTTTACTCTCAGAGCAATGCCCTCTCACCCGATTGGTCGAAAGTGCGTTGTGTGTAGGCGTTGCAGTTCGGCTCCTCTAGCCAATGGGACCAGGGTCGAACCCTCATTTGCCTGGACGGGTTCGAGCAAGCTGTTTTAAACCCTAGTCGGACAGGGAAATTTTTGAGTTTTAGAACGGGCTCGTGAGCGAACCCACATACGTTCAGCTCCCTTGGTGCGCCGGGTTACCGGCGCACCACGGAAGCTGGACGCGTAGACCCGGGTCAAAGACCCGGGTCTACGCATGCGTAGACCACGGTGCGTAGACCACGGTGGATGCGTAGACCACGGTGCGCCGGGTCTTTGTCTTCGCGGCTACAACGTAGTCGCCGTCCTTACAGTGCGCGGTAGGACCATCTGCCGCCGAGGCGTCCCCTGCAGTCGGTAAACCGTGCGCGGCAGTTTGTTACAGCGCGGGATCTGTTCTAAGATGTCTTTTTTGCAACTGTTTGATTCTTTTTTTACTATCCAAGTAAAGTTTCGTTGATCTCG